AAGATGTTTGTTGAGTCTAACCCAAGGCAACACACTCATGAAATGGCCCTGAAACAATACGTAAACATCTAAGAAATATGGAAAAACTCCATAAAGAAGGTGTTTTGGTGCCTCTTGAACTCTCCAATGAACATTGTTTCCAATGTGTGAACATTGCTTCGTCTCTTCTGGCATGTAATGCGTGTGAACCATTTTTGGACAGGTGATGAAAAATGGATTCTCTATGCGAATATTAAATGCCATAAACAATGGCTCAGTCCTAAACAAAAACCACTTTTGACCCCAAAACCTGGACTCCATCTGCAGAAAGTGGTGCTTTGCATTTGGTGGGACATCAAAGAAGTAATTCATTTCAAACTCCTCAATTCACAGCAAACTGTCAATGCAGAGATCTATAATCAGCAACTGGAACATTTAAATTAAACCCTTCATCAGAAATGCCCTTCACCCTTCAATCAGAAAGATGTTCTTCTTCTCCACGACAATGCACGTCCACATGTGGCACTTTTGACGCAACACAAGATTATAGAGTTGGGTTGGGAAGTTCTCCTCCACCCACCATATTCTCCAGATATGGCACCATTAGATTACCATCTTTTTCGTATGCTGCAACACCATCTTAATGGGAAAATGTATGCAAGTGTGGAAGGTGTTAAAGAGGACATCAACATGTTTTTTTGCTTCAAAGCTAAGTGATTTCTTTAATCAGGGCATTAACAACCTTATTGTAAGATGGAAAAGCATCATCAATAAGAATGGACAATATTTCATTTAATAAATGTTTTGTTTTGATATACAAGTTGTTCGGGTTTTTTTAATCTACGAAATAGTGACATTAATTTCTTGACGACCTAATACAAACATTAGAATTTAAGTATACGATGAAAAACAAAACTGATCCAAAGAATTAAGCTAAGTATTTATTCAAAACTACTAAACTGCAGAATTAGGTTTATGAGTCTGCTTTCAGAGATGAAAAGCATCATGGTGCTGATATTGTTTACCTCCTACATTCTTGTTGAATAAGTTATTTTCATATAATGGTAAAAGTAATAAGAATACTTACAGAGTTAAACAGGTGTGGTAGTTGTCAAAATACAGCTTTCCACTACCAAATAAAAAAGTAGATGTTTAAAAAAACATAACATTAAACCAAATGAGAAATTCAAAAACCAGCTTTGAAGAACATAATAAGTATCAATTTGTTTATGTGTACTGTGAAATGAATAAATGAAAATACAAAGCACTAACAATTCAACTTCTGAAATGGCAGGATATATACATACATTGTATTTCATTTTACTCTTGTATTGTTTTTTATATCACTAAAAAAACAGAACACACACATCATTGTTGATAAACACACTCTTTATGAAACAATACAACATGCAATGTTTTTGGCCATGTTTTCAAACAACTCACACCTCACAGGCAAAACAGTATTAATTTGTTGGTCAAATACTATGGATCATTTCTACATAAAAGTTTAGCATTACAATACTCAAATATATATAATACTATGCTTACTTACTCTTCACATGTTATTGGTTGTTTTGAATGGGCTTCCCATATCTTCAGAAAGCTTGATTTTTTCTGAAAAAATAATCCAACAACGTTAGATAAAATATGAGGGTTAACAGTTAAACAACCAGAGTATATCATATTTAGCTGCATTCAGGAATTGTTTTTATAGACTATTTTTACTAACTTGCATATTAAATAGTTTGACATAACATTTTTTAATGTCACTCATAAGGAAATGAAACATACGACTAAATGTAACACATAAAACATGCTAAAAGAGTTAATCAGAAATGCCAGAAATACATTCAGTTCATCTAAGTCACTAACAAATGTTATAAAAAACCTACTCTCACTTAATCAAATGAATTATACAAAATAATTTATATCTAAGTAACATTTATAATAAAAGAAAAAAAACAACTTTAAAAAGTGACTTATTATAAATATGTACAAGCTATTCTTCTGCAAATCATTCTTTCTGATATTTAACTTTGCACTTAATATGTATGTAAATACACACACACACACACAGATGTAATTTGTACATATACAGCCAAACACCTACAATACAAAACTATTAATGACTAAACCACAGTGATATAATACTCAATAACCCACTATTAATGACTAAACCACAGTGATATAATACTTAATAACACAGGTGTTTATTCTTTTTCTTTTACTTACATCACAGATTAATTTATGTAGAAGTTTCAAGCTAAGCCTGTAATTGGATCCTGTTAGGTTTAGCTCCCGATACCACAAACCATGTAAAACACTGTATTGTGATCCAATTTTGGGCATTTTAATTTCTCCTGTCCTGGTAAATATTGTATCTTTTTCCTGTACCTACCAAAAAATACATTTGAAATAAATAAAAATTGTCATATACACAGTAATACAATAATATTTTTAAAACATGGTTTTTTTAGCTCTTAACATATCACTCACAAAAAGTGTAAAAAACTATATAATGCAATTAATCTACATAAATATAAAGGTACTGTCTGTTGTCTGTCCATGTAACTACTTTGAAGGGTGTGGATGGACCTACACTAAAATTGGTATGCAGATTTGTCAAGTCCATGAGGGGTACATAAAAATTTTCATTTCCATTTTGCCGTTTTTATGGGCACTTTTCCACTTTTTTACCACTACTTTCCCCCCTGTAGATGGATCTTCACCAAATTTAGTAAGATT